ATTGGTTCTTGATTGTAAATTATTTCAAACATTCTTTGTCTATTTAGTTAGTTATGCCAATGTACAATGATTCAATAACATGCTTCAAATATGAACATTTCTAAAGTTTGTGGAAAATATAAACCAAAACGCATATTACGTTATGTAATTCCTTTTTAAAATCTATAAATTTTTGCATCCTGAATCATTGTGCATCTGTATTTACACATAATTCAGATCTGCTTTGAAATAAAATTTTAAAAAGTGAAATAAAAGTTGCAGTAGGCGTTTTAGCATTGGATTTAAAATGTTTTCACAATTTATTTGGAATACTTTTGAAACTGTTTGAGTTGATTATACTTTTGACATATGATTTCAAATGTTAATTATGAAGTAATCTTCGAAAAAGGTATAATCCATTGAAACAAATTCAATAGTTTTTCTACAAATTTATAATTTCCAATATTCGTCACTTTTTAAAAACCTACATGAGTCAGTATAATAACAGTAGAGGTCTTTCTATATTAAATCAAACAATGGCATGAGTATTAATACTTCAAACACACATACATGGTGATTTATAATGAATTGTACGCAGAGCAACGGTAGAATCCTGATTTGGCAAATGTGACCTTGACGAGCTCCTACATTACAGTATGTTGCTTGTAAGACCATTCCTGGCCTTTTTTTTCGTAACTTCTGCGCATGCATTTCAGAGTGTTCGTAGCATGTTTGCTGCAATAAACAGGCAAGTAAAAATATAGAAAGATTTCTAATTTTCAAGGTCAATTGCATGCAGTTTTGGTAACTTTTAGGGACTTTTTATAAAAACAACCTAAAATTTGAAACGCATTAATGCGGTACTCATGATAACAAAAAGGCGAAAGTAGTTGGTCACAATGCTTTGTTGTTATAATGGTAAAGGTGTTTGCCAAATCGGCTAAATCCATTTTCTTCATAGTAATACAATACAATCAAAAATGTTCGTTCACAAAATGAAAGATTCCTCAACAGCAACGGTCGATCAACTCAAAACTGTCAGAATTCGCAATGTTGGCAGTAATGACAGATGACAGTAAGCTTTAAATAATTATTCTTGAAAATATGCTACAGTGTATGAGCATTTTTTTGCGTGCAATAGACATACAGTACAAAGGCTGCAATGTACGACTGCTTTTAGTTCAAATGTTGATAGTTGAAAAATTTACAGGGTGGTATAGTTGAAGTATTTTATTATTTATTTTGGAATATTACAGTAACCGCTTCACTGATATTGATGAAATTTGGTTAATTGGGGTTTTTCAAGGTTGAAATTGTCACCATAATGTTATTTTTGGCTCACTCCATGAGGGGATCTTCATATGTAAACTATCAACATTTTACTAAGGCCAATCGTCATATTTTTGATGTCAGGATTCTACCATTGTTCTGTGTACAATTCATTATGGATCACCATGTATAGTGCAGTTTCAATTATTGGTAACTTCTCCAATCAATCCTCAATTCATCGCGTTTTTAGTTCAGATCGTTTTTCATGGCTTTGATATGTTGTGAGAATTTTTTTGTAATTAAAAAAGCCCATATTGCATAATTATTTGGCTTACAGAATTCAAACAAGAGTAATTTAAATGAGTTTCAATATGATATGAATCATTTTAATGTTCGGAATCCATGAACAGTTAAACTATTTATTAAGTTGACTAGTTTTTATTACTCCTAATTGAAATAATCCAATAATTTTAAACGGCTATTTATTTATCTACGTTTTCTCAAATCAGTACAGTAATTGGCTATCTTAGGCATAAACTTATAGTTGACATGAATCTCTGGACCATTTATGATGTTATTAAGTTTCAGATACATTGTGACCTAACTAAACGATTATTTTGTCCTCTTTTGCTAAGTCAGCAAGGAAGTAGACCCTTCCAATCCAATCTTTCCAAGGAAGGTTAGGATTTGAAGTGGCTCCAAGCTGGACAGATCACTCTTCTATTTGATATGTTCCCAAGAATAATGCCATTGGATTTTTTAGTCCCACATATTCCATCAGAATATGAATGAAGGTTTTGTCCACCATCACAAAATCTGCCCTCCCTTTCTTATACTAGTCTAAATTTTATTATAATGACCTTGGATTTTGTAGTGCCACATATTCCGTCAGAATGTGACTGGAGGTTTTGTCCTTACAGAATCTGCATGCACCTCACTTTTTTATACTAGTCCAATTTTTGCTAAGGTGCCTTTCGATTCAGTAACGCCCAGTAAAGATAGCTGTAACTTTTTCTTGCTCACACAGATACAGGCTTTTGATCTTCTCTGGTGATAGTCACCCAGAAGTATCTTAGCTGGTCTTAGCCACAAGGGATCGTTCCAATTGCCTGTTCTTTTATTACTTAATTCTTTTTAATCTCTTCTAATATTTTGTTACTGCTGATGCGCAGAACGGCTCAGATTGCACACAGGATCTTTCAGTCCCTTTCCTTGAAAGACTGCAATCTCATTACCCAGTGTAAAGCGTAGCCTTTGATCGACCCATCTCCATTTTAGTTTTAAGTGGATTAAGCAGATACTTATAGTGATGTCACTACTGTTGGTCAGTTTATTTTTGATTTATTCTGTTTATGGTATATTTGTGTGTTTTGAAGTATCATATTGGGTGACAATGAGATTAAAGCCACGTCAATATCTTTTTTATTTTTTAAGCGATTTGGAACAAACATACTAGAAATGATTTCGTATATTTTATATATTTTTTTGGATTCTACGGGTCAAATTACATATGACAATGTCCCCAAATTTTAATTTTTCCCCTTTTTTTATATAAAAATTGTCAGATTTGTAATAAAATGTTCCACCTAAAAGCAAATTGGCACTAATTAGGTGCCATTTAGAAAAAGGGAGATTTTGGTATAATAGCTTTTGTTTCGAGTTATTCGAGGCTATTAGAACTTTAATTTGTTTGGGAAAAAAAGAAAATTTGACAATACTGTCATATGTAATTTGAATTTAGATTAAAAAAAAATATACAGCATGATCTATTTAAAAAATCAAACATAATAGAATTTTCGGTGAAACCGGAAGTCGGTCATTTTGTTTAAGTATAAGTGTCAATTTGCAATTATGTCTAGTAGGTTTGTCTCAAATTTTATCCATCCAAATCGCTTCATAAATGGAAGATATTAACGTTGCCCTGGTCTCCTCGTTTATATTATACAGTTTTTTTTTATGGAATATGGGAACCAATTCTTATGTCCCTCCATGAAATTTCCTGAAAAGTTGCTTTTTATCATAGAGCTTGATGTTCTGACAAAAGTGTTCATTGACCCAAACCGATGTTATGACTTGTAAATCATAAAGATATACAGATAATATATTGATCTCAGGGTATTTATGATTTCTAATCATTATTAAATCTCTAAATCGGGGTGGGTTCACTTATCTAAAAAAAATTAATAAATTAAATTTTAAAAAATTAATTCGTTCTTGTCGTTTTCCTCTGTTGCTTGTCCACCTCTGCTTGTGTCCTTCCTGTGCCTTTCTTGTTTACTCTATTTCTTTTTTTTTTGTCTAAATACATTGTCTTTTTATACATTTCTTTATTTTCCTTCTAACTTTAATAAATTCCAAATAAGTCTAATCAGACTCCATACAATTTTATAATCTCAAAAACCTCTCCTGACATTTCTTATTTCCCGCTGACAATCCTTAATAATCAACAAAAACTGTTTTCTCATCTACTACAACTTCTATACCCCACCTCAATATCGTTATCTCTAATTTTCCAAGAGACATCTTGCGAATATCAATTTGCCAAATTTATTAAACCAATCATATTTATCCAAATGATCAACTTTACGAAATTTTATAATTTTCAACTTTTATATTTTTATTCTTTAAATTGTTGGATTGCTAACATTTAACTCCAAAAAATTTACGTAACATCAAAATACTACAATTAATTCTAACCTTCACATTCGCATCCATTCATCCTTATACTAATTTTATATATTCAGATATTCTCTCATTTTATTTAAACTTTTATTTCTAGTCTGGTAAAAAAATTGCTTTCTAATATTCACAGCTTTTGCAATCGGTTCTTAGTGACAGGTCGTACATTTGTCTAATACAATACAATAATGATGAACAATAATTAGTGACACATAATTTTTTATTTTTTTTAAGTATCTTAATATTCCTATTCATCTTACACATATAACGTGTAAATTCTCACACGTACCATACAAATTGTACTGTCTGCAGGACCTAGGTCGATAGCCATTTGTTTGTAAACTTTATAACCAATAAAGTGCTTTTATTGTTATTGAATACAATAATAATTACTGCACATATTGTTTATACAGGTGACTTGTTAAAACTGTAAAACAATATATGTCCTCCGTTACCACATTTATGTGTCACCCTGCATAAAACATGATGTATCCCCAAGAAGTAATTACTTAAACTATATTTTCATAAATCCGTCATAAAAAGTTATTGAACAAATAAATGCGTTATCTTCGAACCAACCATCCTGTAATAGAACCAAATTCTACAGGAATTGTTTATAAAATAATAAAGCTAAATAATCTATAATTCATGTTTTCTACAACAAACGGGAATAGCTATAACATTGGTTTGGGTCAATGTGCAACATTTCAAAAATTTGAGGCCGTTATAAAAGAATTTAAAAATTACAAATAGCAATAATTTCCATTTTTTATTTCTCCCATCACAAAATTCAAAATTTCATATTTGAATTCTAGATGTTTCAGAGTATTTCTCTAATTGATTGAATTGATATTGAATGACCCTTATAAATGTTGGCCAAATTTAAATTCGCAGCTTTTTGGTGCTTAAGCTTTATCGAATGGGCGTTACGAAAAAACTCTCAACTCGTTTAAGTAAAATACTGTTTTGTTTTAGGTTTTTGAAAGACCGCCTACTATGAAAACAAACAATCCATATAAAACGAACAGTGACGTAAGGTGGTTTGACGCTCTTGTTTTATTTTTTGTTTTCAGAGGCGTGGCAACTAGAAAAATGCCTGTGGTACCCCCGTGCCCTCCTAAAAATTCATTAGCACCAGACCTTAGCACTATACATAGAGTTCTTTTCCATCGGAAGTAGTCTATATGGAGAGAAGTTATGAGAGGAGTGATTAAAGAGGGAAGTTGTATTTGTTAGGAAATGTGCAACACTAGTTAGAAGATTTATATATAATTTATTATTAATGAATTTACTGGAATCAACCAAACATTTTTTCCAGCTGGAATTACTCGGAAAGTGCGCATTTAAAATACTTTATGTATTAATTTCAATCAAAAATTGTTTGTAGCGTGAATTGGCTATAAAAAAACCGGATTGTTGCTATAAAATATTTTTTCTAATTTTGACAATGTCGTTATTGATTTTCTATCACCATGGACGTTTCGTGTCACAAGAGTTAAAAAATGCATTACGTGGCTGCTTACTTAGTAGCCCCTTTGGGAGGAAAAGCCTCTCCAAAAGCCGCTGATCTTGAAAAAATCCTTTTTTTCACTAGGAGGTAAAGTCGAGGGTAAAAAATTCAAGAAAGTCATCTGTGAACTTAATGGAAAGTCAATTGAAGAACTTATCACTAAAGGTCGTGAAAAATTGAGTTCCATGCCCATTGGCGGAAGTGCAGCTGCTGCTGCAAAGCAGAGGAAAAGAAAGATTAATCCGAATCAAGAGGATGATGATGATTGTCTTTTTGACTAAAAATGTCGTTATTTTATAAGATTCAACCTCATTTTTGTAAAGTAATATTCACTTGTTACACAAAATAAGGCATTTCGTAACTCCTCTGTTACATCCTTCACAATTCCTACATCGCTCCATACGAATTTTCCATTTCTCAAAGCAATTAATCTTTGTTTAACCGCTTGTAAATGGTTTACTTCGTGTTTTTTTTTGTCTGTTTTTTCGCCCTTTTAGACATCCCTCTGCTTTTTCCTGAGGGGTTCCGGCTGATCCCCCAATCAGGCTTGGGGTCCAACCGATTTCCTATTCTCTGGGGTTCACATGGCACTGAAGTGCAAATGACTTATTGTGCCTCCATTTGGATGCCCTACTTCCTATGCATTCAGCATTCTTTCATCCATTCTACAGTCTTTATGGACTCCAAGCTGTGCAAATTCGGTCACCAACTAGAGCCTTAACAAGGGCCTTACTGCTGTGGGACTTGTGATTGATGTTTTGAATACCTTTCACAGTGCCCCAGCCTTCCAGTGCTGAATTGACCTAGAGAAATCGAAAACCTCTTGACAGACATTGAGGAGTGGGTTTGAAATCATGACTTTATTTTGTTAAAATGTAGCTATTCATACGAAATTAGCAACAGCTCTGTTAAGACGTTTTTTTTTTCTGATTAACGCAGTGACTTTTTCATTTTGTGTGTTGGTTTTTGAAATGCAAGATCGTGTCCCTTCCCCCTGAGTTTCTGATAGTCATTTCTAATCATTCTTTCAAAAAAAGCAGACGTTTTTGTGGCGGATTTTCTGAATTTTACATTGAAACGTTGCTTTATTTGAACACTAGAACATTTTTTTTTTCGATGGAGCATCAGTGCAAGATCCAATTTGAATGAAGGCCATGGCACAATTAACACATTAGGTTTTTTCCTTTGCATCGAAAGTGTAGCACTGAGCTACGCCACTTCTGAAAATATCGTTCTATCCATACAATTTGTATAAATGGAACGATATTTTCAGAAGTGGCGTAGTGCTACACTTTCGATGCAAAGGAAAAGATCTATTGTGTGCTAAGGTGTCAAATTATCACTGTGTTGAATGACATGGCACGCAATGTGTGGAGCACAATCTTTCAATCAAGCACAACGCAACCTTGACGATCACAGGAATAGAGAGGAACATGTCACGTAGCACGGTCATGTTGTTTGATCTTACCACACACTCACTGTTTTTATGCAGAACAATTAGTCTGTTTTTTTATAGCCACACGTCGTTTACTATATAGACACTTAAAACTGGTTGACCGTGAATCCCCTGGTTCACCAAAACGTATCCTGTGAATTTGATCGAAAGCTCAAAAGTACTTTCAATCTGTCTAATCACATAAAACGCAAATCAGCGTTTTTAAATCATTATAGAGATTGGTGTTGCTTGATTTTGTAAAACTGACTGAAATCATTGTCTTTCAAAACTTCTCTCTCTCTCTGAATTTTAGTTTAGAATAATTTTAAATAGATTTTTTTAGAAATCTAAAATATGTTTTTATAGTTCAGTTCGCTTTCCGATTACTTTAATTGGTTTTTTTTTATATAATTTAATATCATGTAATAATCTATATTCTGAAAACAAAATATTTATGTATATTTTATTGATTAATAAATAATCTTGGTATATTCTTGTTTTATTATTTTGAACGGTCAATATCTAGGAGAAACGTCACAACGGGGTAGATTGAGAATTTATAAAGAGAAATCCAGATGCTGGAAATAATTTGAAAATTATTTGTATGTCTAGATAATAAGAATCTAGATATGTGGAGAAAGGCATTGTTACTAAATAGCGCAAGATAATATAGTACGGGAAAGAATAGTGCGAATAAAACATCGCCAGAATAAAACAGTTGTAGGAACAAATAGTAATCAGATAAAGTAGCACCGGAAAAATAGCGTTAGGACGTAATAGAGTGTTGATGAAAGAATGCTCGTTATTTTATGATTTTGCTATATTTGAATTTTCGCGCTGTGCATGTGAACTGAGTGGGTCCAAGCACCGAGCTATTAGGCGTTCCAACGACCTGTCAAACAATAGGTGCCAGTGGGAAATTCTTGTATATTTAAGGGGGTAGCGACATAGTCTTGCAACTTGGACGCTATTTTTATACGAAGTAGTACTCGCCAAGCCTACTAATTTATGAAGAAATGTATAGGTGGGTTTTTTTAAATATTATTTTTATTGTGTTTGACAAAATATTTAAATGTAATCCATTATTCATGATTTTACGTAAAGTAGACAGAATACACCATATGTCGCCACCCTTAGATATTCCAAACCTGCCCACTGGTAATTCATTTGTTTGGAATGCCTAATTGGAAAAAGTAGGATTCACTTGCTTTGAGAAACGCTACTGAAGTATTGAATCAAGAAGTGCTGTGTGTTAGTAAAGGGCATAATCGAATACTCGGATGATTAAAAATCGAATTTATCAAGTATTCGAATCAAATCATTTGAATGATTTATAACATGCCATCATCAATTTTTGGTAGGTCAAAATCAAAGTGTCAACTGTCCAATCAGAACGCAATACACCAAGCCTAAAACGTCATACGTCAATATATACTCCTATATATCATGCAACCGTTTAGCTTACGGCTCTGGTGTACTGATTGAACTGGTTGGGTGGTTCCCCAACTTGACAGAGATCTAGCCAATTAGAACGCGATACCAAAAAATGGAAGTCGCAAAAACGTTGCATGTGTATCCTACTTAGGGAAAATAGGTGCCTATTATACTCCATATTTCAACAAGTCACCTGGGGATCTATTTTCAAACTCGAGAGAAATTATTTTTCTCAAAATTTTCATGAGAAATGTCATATGTCAGCGTGAGAACTGTATTTTAAAAGGCAGTGAGGATTAAAATTCTTAGGAGAATATTGATTCTCCCGAAAAAAAAAAAACAGAAATAGGTCATTTCTCACTGGCTTTAAAAATACTATTTCCACGTTGACGTATGACATTTCTTATGAAAATCTTGAGAGAAATGAGTACTTCCATAGTTTTAAAATAGGTTCCTAAGGACTCGTTCATTTATTACAATTTCAGACATTTCAAATGATTCGAATGATATAATCGAAGTATAATCGAATTAATTCGAATGATGGTAATAATCGACCTTTTTTTCTCTCCAATTGTGGAGCTATCATCAACATAGAGTGATGATAAAATATGGAGACTTTAAAAGAGTGATGGCTCAAAATATCATAGGTCGCACAGGTTAGGTAAATTAGTTGTTTTTTCTCATTTTATCTAAAAAAAAAATGCGAGGCAACTCGCGATGGCTCAGTGCCGCACAGGTTAGGTAAATTAGTTGACTTTGACTTACGAATATTAGGTCATAATACTTCTTGCTTCTTAGTTTTACTGGGTCTGCATTGAGAGATTCTAATTTAATATCACAAATATGTTCTGTCAGTCTTTTTATTTCAATACTCTTTAGAAATTAGAAGGCATGTTTCTTCGGACCATAAATTCTATAATTTCAGTCAACTTTAAATTTTCTCCTGACGCACTTTCTCTAATTGATAGAATTCTTATAAATTTTAAAAGTTTTTAAAATCCAAGAAATCTGAGTACTTCATTGGAATGACGACCTAAGGTTGTTTTATTCTGGCCAATCGAAAAATTGGGTACCGTTGTGAGGGCTCAAAAAGATCCCCAGCACCTACTATGGCAGTATTTATTGTCCTATGAGCAGAGTCCCCCTCACTCTGCCCATGGTTTATTTCGAAAAACCTTAGTGATATTTTTTCACAATTATCAAAATATTTTTATTCTGGCCATAGCAGCCGTCCGAGTAGAAAGAAAGGGTAGTAATTTGGTCTTTATTCGTAAAATATTCCAAAGATTTATAAATACATGTAGAGATTTTAGAAGACCTCTGTTACTCAAAGTTTCATTTAATAAAAAGCAGACATTCTTTGGTAACAACATTGTAAAAAGTAAAGTTAAATGTTATTAATCTTGTTATGTAGTAAATCGCATTCTCTTTGCTTATTGGCAAGTATATAACTTGAAACCGAAAACTCCAGAGAAATGATTTGTTTTCTATTGTTCTTTTTTTGTTTACAGCTTTTAACTCGCGTACTTTTTAATTCTCTCTGCAATATGCCGTGTTTACTTGTCTTTTATATTTTCTTTTACAGTGAGATCTCCTTGAAAGTAAGTTATATAGAGGGAACATTGATTCTTTTTTGGATTGTAGAATGATAAATTTTACTATTTAAATATTTTTTGGTACGTACTATAACTCGGTTTGTTAGTAAAATTTGTTTTTTGAAGATACTCCAAAACCATATTGTACATCTTGGGCAAGGATAAGTCAGAATGTAAGTACGTTCTTGAAGTTGTCGATGTACAG